AAGGAAAAAAAAAAGAGAGAGGTAAAATTGTATTATTATTTGACTACTGCATTCCTTCTGAGCTGGGGGCGGGGAAGGGGGAGGGAATCGGAGCGCAGCGCATGGAACGGGTTTCAATTTACGGGAAGCAGAAGCAGAAGCATAGCATAGCAATCTTGGGCAGCAAGATTTGAATTAAAGGCAGAAAATTGATACCCTGGGAAGTCAAAATCCAGGATGATTCTCATATTTTGAGGAACTAAACGAGCTTGGTGAGCAAGGCAGCTCTGAAGATCAATTAACATGGCTATTTGTGTTTGGCTGGCGCCGCGATTATTGAGAAGCTCATAAGAAATCTCCACTGGAAGAAATAAAACATGCCCATCTTCAACTCTATTTTCTTTTCCTCCAAACACCACTTCCGACAGGCTCGCGGTCTACTTCAAAGGTTTTTCCCTTAAACCCTTTTCAACCATCTCCTTTCCTTTGATCGCCGGTCTCGTGTTTTATGGCACCGTTTACTGTTTATTAACTTATGGCTCCCTATTATCTGTCTTCAAGTCCAAATGCCGGATATGCAAACCCTTATCCTACTGAAATGATTTGTCATTTCTACCAATGCAATTCGATATTTGGGTCTATTGAGAAGTCGCTTCAAAATGTTAAGGGGAAGGAAGCATAGGCTTTTGTTTATTATCCATGAGTTTAGCATAGCTTGTGGAATTTGTATTTGGTATTTATTATTTGTAGTTTCGAAATCTTTTCATCACTCGTGCTGTTTCCAAACTTCAACATCAAATTTTCACAACTTCTATTGCGTTTCAATTATATGGAGTTGAGTAATCATGAATGCCATTTCTTCTAATGTGAAGCCTTGCCATGTAACTGTTATTCCAGTAACTTTCAATACAGTTGTGTGCTAGATTGTCCTTGGTTACTAAGAATACGATGACTTTGCTCTAAACCTGGTAAATTTTGTTGCAGGTTTCATCCATCAAATTCCGTTAGATCCTGCAAATATTCAAAATCATCAAAATACAATAAGGAAATACCAGAAGTCCATCCTCTCATTTCCATAGATGAACAGGCTTCTCGTTCTAGGGCTACTTATGTCATTGTATGACCTGACCCTCATCTTGTTAATATTCAAGTTTCTCCTTCTTCGGTAAATACAACTTTGTGAAGACATTTAATTGGCCATGATTTTACTTTTCATTTATTGTTTATTATGTATGTGCAGCCAGCTGCAGTGATGAGTTTTGTTGGGTTAGCAGCCCTTGTCCATTATAATGATGAGAGAAGAGCTGTCTTGAAAGGTTTTATTATATCTTTGTGCTCCTGTCTTTAGTTTTGGCTACCATTGTTGATTTGTTGCTGCAAATTATTTCAGCAATTTAGTTTTGGCTACCATTGTTTATTTGTTGCAGCAAATTAGTTCAGTAATTTATTTTCCAGATTTAAGAGAGATAATAAGGCACCATAGTCCTGTTAGAGGATCAAAAGAGGTTTCCTATCGCTATAACTTGTTCCTTTTTAGTTTACTTCCTTGGAGGTCTTGTTAGGTTTCCAATACCTTAAGAAACTGTAGATAGCTGTGCAATCATCTGAAAGTTATGAATTTCCTCGACACCTCTTTGCATAGGGTAGAGAGATAAGGAAGTGGAAGATGGAATTAMGGCTTTAATGGCATGAAAAAACTTTGTAAAATATGGATTACGAAAATGAAAGCTTGAATACAAACCTTTGAACGGCCTGATAAAAGCTTAAGGGTGGATCAGTGAATATATGTAAGCAGACTATTTGTAKACTCTTTGAACTGAAACTAGGAATGTATGGGCTTTTTCAACTCGTGAGATGTCAGATGGATAGCTGTTTAGTTGGAAACCAAGATCTGCTAGTTGAATTTTTTAACACTGTTGAGACTGTGATGCATGGCAACAGTTAATATGTGAAAATTAACGCTAGAAAACTTAATGATCAAATTTAGGCTCTGAAGATTTTGGCATGTAAATGACTGTGATGCTAGAAAACCAAGATCTGCTAGTTGAATTTTTTAACCCTGTTGAGCCCGTGATGCATGGCAACGGTTAATATGTGAAAATTAATGCGAGAAAACTTTATGATTGTATTAGGCTCTGATGATTTTGGCATGTACATGACTTTTGATAAACCTGAAGCAGGGGGCAAAATAATTTTCTGATTGATTTCACATGCCATATTTTATTGCATAAGATTTTAAAGACTTGACTTGAAGTGCCTTTTATTATTCAGGACAAGGTAACTCATCTGATGGAAACTTGGTTAGAGGACCGATTATTGGGGGTCCTTTCACTCTTACTGATACAGAGAATAGAGTTGTAACRGAGCAAAATCTTCGGGGGAATTGGTCTCTCCTCTACTTTGGCTACACTTCATCTCCTGATGTTGTTCCAGAGCAACTCCAGATTATGTCCAAGGCTATAGACATATTAGGTATTTGACTACTTAAAAAATACGACATTTGCTCTATCCTAGCTTATATGATGTTGGCACTTGCTTCCTCTCTTGTTTGATTTATTTGTTTATTATTCTGTGGATAAGAGTCAAGACATAATCTCAAGGTTCTACCAGTATTTGTCACAATTGATCCTCAACGTGATAATCCATCACATCTTCGTGCTTACCTTAAAGGTCAGTCTTCTTCTGTTCATGAACATGATTCACACTGTCCAGATAAATCTATTTTGGTTGATATTTCTCTTATTTGTCCCATCATCTATGGACTGCAGAGTTTGATCCAAGAATTGTAGGACTGGCTGGACCAGTTGCAGCAGTAAGGCAAATGGCACAGGAATACCGTGTTTACTTTAAGAAGGTCGAAGAGGAAGGCGGCGATTATCTTATCGAGTCTTCACACAAAATGTAAGCCCGCTGGCTGTGCCTTCCCATCTATGTCTCATCTCTAACTTGAATAATAATGTACGTATGATGCTTAAAAAACAATCAGGTATTTGTTGAGTCCAAACCTGGAGGTCATGAGATGCTGTGGAATCGAGTATAATGCTGAAGAGCTATCACAAGCCATACTGAATGTAGTTCAGAAAACTCCTCAATAACGACCTACAGGTCTTCAAATTCTTTCCTTTTCTATTTTTCTTAGGTTTCTTTCTAATCATCCAGTGAAATCATTTAAAATGTTGTCTTGACTTGTTTACTTGAATTTTGACTTTTTAGAAGTTCATTAGCAGTATATTAGTACAGACAGAAAAGGCAATTTTTTTTGTTCAGTAATTGTTTAAACTTGGTGAGCCGAGATGAGTAATAGAACATCACCATAATCCATTGAACTCATTGGCTGCTTCAACTATCAGATAAAAATTATATTCAGGTTTGGATGAGATGCAAAATCTACCCAACATTTTCAGTGAGAGATGGAAATAATGCTTTAATCTTCAATGCTTCGTTTTATTCGTTATCAGTTCTAAGTACGTCGAGAAGGTTGTTCCGTCCACTCTGCCCCCTTTCAGTAGTTTTAACATATGTTCCAATAAAACTTTTTTTCATTTATAGAGGACCAGATAATGCTGCTTGTATGTAAGAATTGGACAAATCCATAGTTTTGTCTCCCTCACAAATGTAAAACCATACTGTCATCTAAGTTGCATGAAAGTAAAACGTCTCAGTCCACAAGAATTGGCAGGATCTTCCAGTTCCCTGTATGAACTAATAAGTCGATAATTGGGCACCATGTTGGCACTATAACAGATGAAGAAAGTATTATGGACAGTTCAGCGTGATTTGATGATTGGTATAAGTGGTTTGGTGTCGATTTTTGTATTTGAATAAGAAGACGATTTGATGTTGATTTTGACTAAAAGTCGATTTAAGCCAACTGAATTCAACTATGTTCGCATCAGCCAGGAAATTGGATTTCGGTTTGCCATTACCAACTGCAGTCGATTTAACCCCTCACTATGGCTTCTACGAATCAATCATCAAAGCAAGAGGCTAACATTTGTTTTTTGGTTGAATCCGATGATTCGAATGCAAGTGGAGAAGTGCAGTCATAGATGTGAATCAAAATCATGTAAAAAGGACGTGAAGAACTATCAATATCACCCCGACCCACACAAAATTTCGGGATATTATCCTCAACAAATTTACGTCACACCCCAATTTCTCCTTTCTTTTTTGTTTTCCATTGAGCCTTAGCCTCCACAGGCGGCGTCATCAATGCACATTTTCTATCTCCCAAGCAAAAATCCAAATTTCACATTTGTCTACAACAAATGGGGTTTCTATTTTGTCCATTTCGAGCCCCTTTAAACGTGAAATTTTCAAGCATATTTGGATCAAATCCATCATTTTTCTGATACTTGTCGCCGATCTCTCCACTCTCCAGAGTCGTCCTAGTACCTAAAGACCCTTGGCACTTTTTTTTAAGAAAAAGGTCAACCTTTCCAGCTCATATAATAGTAAATTATTGGCTTTTATTATTATTATAATTATTTAAAATACGATTTTGTCAATGCGAAGAGTAGGAGTAAGACAAAGCGCTTCCGGACGCCCTCCCTCCACGTCTCTTACCGACACCCACTGCTGAACTGTTTATTTGATTTTGGGTTTAAAATGCTCTGTTTTCATATTGCCATTGCCAGCTATTGATCATGAGCCCGATCGGGTCAAAAAAGGCACTGCTCTCAATTTAACTATTACACAGCAATAAATTGTCTGGCAAAGCCCCAAGAACACATCACACAAATAACAATTAACAAAGATCGGAATCGGATAGGGTGCTGCGCGATGCCATCCATTATCCAAAATTAGCACCCATTAACACCAGCAAGCAAAATCCTGCTTAATCATCAAATCAAATTAAGCACTCTCTCGCTTCCTTATTCAACAATAATACTATTTCACGAATCAGCATCATCATCGTCATATGACGTACTCCAAAGTGGATCGGATTAGATCCCGGCGGCCGTCACTACTCACCGTGGACTTGGGGCAGTAATTCCGGATGGCGGTGAGTTCATAGGGCGACGTGTCGAGGGCCAACCACTGCTCCACCTCAAACTGCGCCTGATCGCACGACCTGTGCACCCCCGTGGTGGTGACCTCCACGTAGTTGCAGTACCAACCATGGTGCGGACCCGATCCGTCGGAGGTTAGATTCAAGGAACACACGGGGCCGCTGAGGCACGGACCCCTCCCGCTGAAAATGTCCAGATTACCCCTCTCGAAGTAATCGTAACCCGGCCCCATCAACCCGCCCCATTTCTCCAGATCCCTTATCCGGACACCGTCCCCCTGCGCCGTGTACAGCGTCACGCTGATCACCGAGTCCGTCCCTCCTTTGGGGGTCGACCCGGTTCGCACGTACACCRTGTACACACAATCCTGCATCAACCAATTCAAAGAAAACTTTTATCAGTCAATTGGGAAGAACACACAACACAGAGAGAAAAAGAGAGAGAGAGAGGAACACGCACATCAGAGAGAGCGATGAGAGAGAAGGAAAGAAGGATTGAGAGGGAGAGCAAGAGAGCTGATTTGGAGGCCATGGTTGTCATGTAATTTTCTTGATAAACAAAACTAGATACTATCTTATATAGAAAATTTGATTGCCAACTCAGGGGCGATTGGGTTTCGTTTGGTCCTATGACTCACTGCCACTGGTTGGAGTCTTTGATCGGACGGCCGTAATCATTTGGTGCCCCACTTTACAGGGTCAAATGTCAACAGTTGGGCCATCTTTCAAACCTTTAACCAATACTCTATCACCACGTCTACTAAATAAAATCATCCTCTTCCCGATCGCTTCCTCTGGTTTTTTATTATTTCCAGAAAATAAATAAGTGATAATAATGGTACAATACAGAATATTCCAAATGTCACGTGATACGCGTGCTATTTTTTTTTCTTAAGGGCCGGCCAATGGAGGTTTGGAATGTCATTGGAGACTTTGGAGTGGGCTCGTTGAGTATAAGCGGCCCAACAGAAAAGATTACCGTCAGGAATTGGCCCCTTCAAATTTTGGGAAAGGGATTGATTTATACAGAAATAACTCCTTTACGGAGTCTTATTATAAAAAAGCAAAAATATCATAATCGTAAAATATTACAAAAATTGCAAGTTTTTTTAGTACATTAACCCACAAAATTTTTAGTCGAAAATAGATGTCTTAATTAGTTCGACTATACTCAAATTGGTACCAAAATAGCTAGTGACAAGTTAGTCCATGCCATTTTTTCCCCTTATTAAATATCCTTATTTAATGCCATAAAACTAGGTTATTTGACCTAAAAGATTTTGACATCTCTAAATTTGAAGTTTCATATATTTATTTTTTTCAACTACCCATTGTTTTTTTTAATAAAATATATCTTATTCTATCTTAAGTTGAAGTTTCATAATTAGATATAAAATTAAGCAGTAATTTATAAAATTATATTATCCATATTTTAATTTAAAAATCCATGCTGTAGTGGTTAGTACTCTGTCAATTTTAAAACGTTTTACTTTTAAATTTTTTTGAATTGCAATTATTATTGGCCACCTCTGTTTACTCTTCTATTTCATTTCAGATAACATTTATGCCTTTTGTAGTATTTTTAAAAAGTTTCCTATTTTGTCAATAGTTTGTTCAGATATTTTACTCTCATATTACCTTAAAAACTATCCTACTTTTAGAGTCAATTTTTGAAAAGTATATTATTTGGAAAAAATTTCCCCCGTTTCATACTTATTAAAATTGTCACGTGGAATGTATAATGGATGGTAAATGGCATCCAGACTTTCCTTATCCTTATCCTTATCTAAAGAATGAAAGGACATGGTTGGAACTCGCAATGCCACCTCCTCACGGTAAAAACATTTTCTAGAAAATGACGAGCGTCAGTATAAAATGGCCTTCTCATTAAGCATTCCTGTAATTTGTATATAAAGAGGCATGTGGTAAGGCGCGTAAGAGCGAAGCAAAAATGGCATCCAAATCTCTACTTCCTTTTCTTATCCTCTCGGTCCTACTCCTGCCAATATTCTCAACCGTGTCCGTCGACGGTTCCCTTCCTGATGATGTAAAAAAAAAAAAATCAATCCCCCCTCTCTCACTCTATGTTTTTCTTGTTATGGGAGAAATAATTAAAGAGGATGTTTGATTTGTACACTACAGGGGCAGGGCGGCGGCGGCGGCGGCGGCGGGGAGTGCGCGTACGTGATCTACGTACAAACGGGGACAGTGAAAAAGGCGGGGACTCACTCAACAATCAGCCTGGAGCTGAAGACGGGGGCGGGAGAGGGGATTTCGATCCCCAATCTGGAGGAATGGGGCGGAATTATGGGCCCAAATTACAACTTCTTTGAGACCGGCAGATTGGACACCTTCACAGGAAGAGGCCCATGTCTGACCTACCCAGACCCCATCTGCTCTCTCAATCTCACCTCCGACGCATCCGGCCCCTACCATGACTGGTACTGCGATTACGTGGAGGTCACGGTCTCCGCCCCGGCCCATCCTTGCACCAAACAGCGCTTTTCCGTCGACCGGTGGCTTGCCCGTGACCGGGAGCCCTTCACCCTCACCGCCATCGTCGACTATTGCCCCTCTGCAAATGCCAATGCAAATCGCTCACTCCGCTTCGATTAATTTTCTGTTTAGGAACGGAATGCTTTCAATTTTCAATTATGTTGACTTTTGAGCACCGCTTTGAATGTAGTGCGAATAATGGCCGACTGAGATTGCTTTTTACTATTTCTTTTGTGATGGGATGGGATGGCATCGCTCACGGTTTTAGCCTCCACTTATTATCCATCAAACAATAATGGAACCAAGCAACAAAAACTCTAGAAATCTTGTTCAAATATAACTATTGAATGTTTGAGAACTAGAACATAAAAATTGTAAAACTAAAGAATATATTTTTTTTTCTTTTTGAAATAATGAGTTAGTCAATCAAAGACAGTGACGTCGAATGCTTTTTTTAGCCTCAAATAGTAAATTCTAGAAAAATATACAACTTAATGATGATTGATGTGGAGAATGAGAAAATGATCTTTGTCTCCACCTGTGCCATGGCGTATTTATTAATTCAATAGGAAATTTTCTAATTTTTCTTTAATGGACAAATTCATTATTTTACCAAAAAGTTAGTTGGGAAAGTCAATTTTAACCTCAACTTCTAATTTCATTAAATTTTAGCTTTATACTTTTTTTTAAAAAACAAGATTTATACTTTTCAATAAGTGCAGCAAATTTTATTTTATGTTAGCCTTAAATTTGAAAATTATTAAAAATAATTTTCTTGTGCATTCAATATATTGTCAACAGAAACATAATACGAAATAAATTGGATCTCTGTGTTATTTGAGTGGCTGTGATTATCTTACAAACTTTTTAAATCAAATATGAAGAGTTGAGATGGCCGAGTTGGTCTAAGGCGCCAGATTAAGGTTCTGGTCCGAAAGGGCGTGGGTTCAAATCCYACTCTCAACATTATTTTGTCTAAAAAGTATTTTTTTAACATTCGGGAGAGTAAAAATAGTATTATTTTATGAAATAGTTTGGAGATTGTAATATTTTCACAGATAATTATAATTTTAAAAATAATTGAGAACTTTCATGATCGACGTGGACAATGAGAAAATGATATTTGGCTCCACATGTACGGTTGTACCATTGTGATCTTTGTCTCCATACCTACCATGCTGTATTTATTAATTCAATGGAAAATTTTACAACTTTTCTTAGGGAGAAATTCATTTTTTAACTATTAAGTAAGTGAATTTTAACCTAAACTAATTTCTGTCTTAGACTTTTTACTAAGTACTGCAATTTTATTTTATATTAGCCTTCCATTCGAAAATATTTAAGAATAATTTTAATGTGCATTCAATAAATTACCAGTAGAAGCCTTAATAGGAAATATACAGGTTCACACTTAGAGTGAAGTTGAATTTTTGTTAATTGGCGAATTATTGAAGACTTAAACTAAAGTATAAAAAAATGAAACGATTATGTCAATAAGGTTGAGATGGCCGAGTTGGTCTAAGGYGCCAGATTAAGGTTCTGGTCCGAAAGGGCGTGGGTTCAAATCCCACTCTCAACAAAATTAATATTTTCTTTAAAATAAGATGGGCGTGATTGAGCCCATGGGCCTTTGTTCAGTTTTCGGAACACAAACTAGAAGACTTGGGTTGGACAAGGAACAGCCCACTGTTGGTTCTGACACTTCCCGAAGCCCATATCCACGAGAAAAATAGGTCATTGCTGGATGGAATTTTTTTTTTTTTTTCATTTTTCATTAGGATTAGTTACCTAGGTATTCTGTATGGCCTATATATATGGTCTTCTTATTATTGATTAATGTTAAGCAAGAGTTTACTTACTCTCAGATTATAATAATCTGGAAGAAATTTCTCCTTCCATCTTGAAATTTCTAACTTCAGTGAGAATTTTAGTCATTTTGTATTACGAAAACTCCTTATTGTTGAGAGAGATTTGATATGATTGGAAATAAAATTTTCTTAAAATTTTCCCTCGTACATGGATGGTCTGTGATATGTGAATAATAATTTTAAGTGCACAACAAACTTTAATTTGACCATCCATCAGAAAGTTATATTGTTAAAGTAGTTAATTGATAACTAAAAACATAAAATCCTTTCCAAAAGAGATTACGAAGCATGTCACATTGCATAAATTCATGACCCATCATTGACCTAATTTGAGGCATCATAAGTAGTTCTTCAAGAAAATGTGTAGTCTATACGCTATAAATTTCAATTCATGTAATAATTATTGTACGGTAATTTGTATATTGTGTTTTTTGAAATCCATGGCATAGATTACATTATTATTTGTTAAATAAGTAAATTATCTCATGTTAATGGGTAAAGCCCACTTGAAGAAAAGGAGATGTCTAGAAAAGAAAAAAGTTAATTGAATCCATATTTTATATATCGAAAAGGGTAGTGTTCTAACCTAATAATAATTGTCATTCTTYTTGAGGGAGTAGTAAAGTAGGGAGGTGGATGATAATAGAATACAATATATAGTTTTGAAAAAAGGGAGAAACTTTAAAAAGGGATGTTACAGAAAGGAGGGGAACTTTACAAGTGTTGGAATTTAGAAGAGTGGTGGGTTGGACGTTTCAGAACTGAGAAACTTTCACTTTYACTTTACACACAAACCAAAACTTTATAACTTGGCTAATTTAATTTAGATATTCAAAACTAAAGCAAAGGCCAAAGGGTGTTGTGTTGTGTTGTGTATTGTGTTTTCCCACCCCCACATGCTCATTTCACTCGATTTTCCTTTTCCTTTTCCTTTTCCTTTTTTCTTTTGGTCTTGGAAAATATATAAAATAAAAAAAAATAGAAATACAAATAAATATGCATGGGCGAGAATATATAATAATAAAGTGAAAGGGTGACACATACACTTCATTCTCCAATGGCAAATAAATATAGTGAGAATTGAGAGAACAAATAAATGGAGATAAGGGGCCAGGTTGGGCTAAAGCTGCCTCCATTGAGAGAATCGAGGTAATTGACAAAGAACGGTTTAGGAATTAATGCATTGAGGAACTCCTTTTGGTTGAGTCAGTCTATTCATTTATAGCAATCCATTGCATGGTTCCCCCATAGCAAATAAATCAAACCCAAATCCAAACAAAAGTAACCAAACCAAATACACTTTTTTTTTTCTCCCTCTCTGATTCTTATTCTGATTCTGATAGTGTAGGGTTTCTTTTTTTATCTTCTTTTACTAGCCCAAGCCTGCAACATTCTCTTTCCACCTAAGAGGAACCGACAAACCAAGCCCTGGAAAATTCATTTAATCGCACACCCATCACCCATCAAGGTAAATTAATGACATTTTGGATAGATAATGTATATATTCCATATGATGCTTCCACTTCCTTCCTAGCCAACGACAACGTCCGTGATGATTAATTATATGCCCAATGCAAAAAATTATTCGGATTAATGGCTTTGTTTCTTTTAATTTATTTGTGTTTGCAGATTCTGACCAAATTAGTTTGATCCAATGGACTTCCTACACATAAGTTGGTTCCACATGGATTCCATGTGACTGCCATCAAATYCAAAATTAATAATTTATAATTATAATTACAACTTCACACTTACCCACTTAAGGGCTCGACCCTCAATGCCGGGACCAACTTCCCATGACAATGCACACGTGTAACAAATCTATTTCTTCGGTCCCAAATATGGGCAGACCCATTGCCAATCTGACACATTAAAAATCTGCATATTATTATCGATTCTCACATTTGGGTTTGTGAAAAGGAAGGAGGGCTTTGGACGATAATTATTTGAGTTTGTTTTTTCTTTTCTTTTTTTTTTTGGTACCAATAATTGAAGTTCACAAAAATTAAAGAGAAATAAAGAGTTAATTAGTTTTATATATTTTGAGTTAAGGCAGCAATGCGATGGGGCCGAGGGGGTTGAAAAATTAAACCTAGTGGAGGACTCCCCTCCCTCTTTACACGTCTTAAAGAGGCGAGGTTTTGTTAAAAGTTTACACAATGTTGGATKCATGTCAGTGTCTGTATGTATTGATCTARAACTCCAACTCCCCATGTGTTTTTTCCCCATCCTCTTTTYAGTGGAATTCCAACTCCTTCTTCAACCACCAATTCTTCCCTTTCACTAAATTAAAACTCACCAAACCAAACCCAATGCAACCCTTATAATTATCCCCCATCTTCTTAATAAAGCTCTCAAAATTACCTAAATATTTGAACCAGATTCTCTCCCTGGTGGGCCTCTTTCAAATCTCAACACCCAATACCCGCCATTCCCATTCCCTTTTCCTTYTCTGTTTCTTATATTCATCCTTCTGCCCCCACTGCTTTTTGACAGACAGACACAATAAGAAAACAAAGTTAATTTATTGCACTCTTAATCAATAAGCTAACCACATTTCATTTTCGCTTAACATTTCCAACTGGACATTCCGATATTTATCAGACACGTGTTAGTTGGTTTTAATACATGTGTGTCACATACTAATTTTTGTACAAAGTCTATATGGTTTCGATACTTAATTATTAGGCACATTTCGAGTGCTTRCTAAGCATAAAAAATAGACATAAATAACAGTATAATATAGGACAAAATAACAATTTTTTAGGATCAGAACTATTTTTTTAACTTAAAAATGCATAAACTTATTAATTTTGAATTTCCTTTYTAAGAAGTTGTATAATTTAAAACATGTCCTAAATTATTAGAAAATAAGGTAGGATCATATCCATGCCTTGTGTCCATATAAGGGCATATTTGAGTATTTGTTTTCTACTCCCTACTTTGTATTTAATTTTCATTTTAACGATTTATTTATAGTTTATTCCAGAAGTTAGAGGTTGGAGTTCCACTTATTGTAATTAGAAATAATTTATCTAGAAGCATATCAAGTGAATATTGCTTGCATTTAATTCTTAATGGAGTTGCAGTTGCTAGCTTGCAACGTGGTGGCAGGGCAGCTCCCCTTGGGAACATTATATTATATCACTGCAGATTCCCTGGTTGCATAAAATAATAATAATAATAAAGGATTCTCTCATAAAAAGGTTAGCCTAAATCATAGCCTCCTCCCTCCCTGCAAAAGAAAATATGGTTATAATATAGGCCATTAAAGCTCCATATAATTGAGTCATTTCATGTTATTAATTAGAAAAAATTGTGTTAATTAAATTATGTTTAGACGCCAGCGATGATGTGAAAAAAATGACGGAACAATAATGTTGAAAACATGATAGAGCATCGTTTCTCAGAGAAGAAAAAAAAAACATGATAGGGCATCGAAGGGATTAGTTAGGCCACACCATTCTTTTTTTCGCTTATATAAATTATATATATGTATGTATTTAGACACATATATAATATATAACGCGCATGTTTTGTTTGTTTCTTCTCACTCACAATTATTGTTGACTCTACAAAAGAAATTGAAGTATATTAAATTATTTGAATTATCACATGGGTCTTTGAGAGATATTTAATGGTGTTAACCTATTTAACTCAGTGGTGATGGTTACTTCTAATGAATATTTTATACAAAAATTGGAAAAGTATATATTCAATTTTCTTTCTAGATGAATTTAAATATTGAGCATATAACTATATTACAAAATTTATTATATTACACACTAATGAGTCTCCGAGAGAATGGCGTAGTAGCAAGTGCTTGGGATCTTGAAGTATCCCCTACTCAAGATCTCAAGTTCGGGTCGTGTCAGAGTAAACGAGCATCGATTTGTATTAGATTAACATTAATGATAATTGACTTGAAGACGCCACCGAACTTTTTATTTGTTGAGAAGATGGAAAATTAAACTCCGAGAGATTTAGATTGAAATCATAGGTTGAAGGGATAGATTGTTATCATAAAGATTTGATTATGTAGATAGATTAAATAAATAAAACACATAGGTCATTTCCATATGAGGCAATCTTGTACTCCACTGAAGTATCAACAAATAAAAGTCTTCCCTTTGTAGTTATGGTAATAATATAATGGTCAATAAAAGAGAGCCGTAAGGCGTTCCCGTATCTCCTCTATTATCTCATTTACTCTCGTGGATTCTCTCACTCCTTGCAACTTTTTTGTTTTGTTGGTATTTGGTATCATATATACATACAAGCATAATTCAAAATCAAACAACTTTTTGCTAAAGTTTCACATTAAAATCACTAAGTTGATCTGTTAGGATATCAAAAGCTAAAATTCACAAATAATAATAGCGCATTGTGTGAAATTAGTACAAGTGTTTATCAAATTAATTACTACTAGACTATAAAGAAAGAGAGAGAAGATAAGATAATTAGGCATGCATTTCTTGATTAATCAAGTTGAAGAGTTGCAGATTTTGTTTGTCTTCCGATCCCTTCCTTTGTACACACAGTTACCAAGGATGTACAAGTACAAGAAAAAAGAAAACCCCAAGCTTCCCCACTAACTTCCCCCCACACCCACCTAACTTTTTCTTCTATTTCCATATAATATAAAATATATATATCTAAGTTCTAACTAAAATATTCTGAACAATTATAAGTTACATATGGATATATATATATTATATATAGACCGACCAATCGGAACCAACTCCTTCTTTAACATTTGATTGGAAAAAGGCGTTTGGTTTTGTAGCTTTCCTTMCCAAGACCAAAACGTCCTCGTATTTCACATCTACCTTCTAGCAGTCGCACTGCCCTACCAATGGASGCCTCTTCTTCCACTCAGCCAAGCGTTGCAAAAAATACATAACCTATAATCAAACCAARACAAAATTATAATAAGAAACTATAATATATGTACAACAAGACAAAACTAAAGCACTCATGTACAAATTTGGCGTATATATTATGTAAGGTCTATGTAAGTGTACTTGCCTCGGAAGGTTCACGTAAGGAATAAGAAGCACTYGTTTCCTTTGGAAATTTGGACACAAGAATCCCGAAACCTTGTCCTCTCTCTCTTATGATCTGAATGTGTAAATTACAATTTTAGAATCATCAGRAGGTGGATCGGAAATACAATATTTTAAATTTGAACAAAGAGAAGGGTATTTTATCAAAAACAGAAAATCTCCCGCATGTACCTTAAATGCATCTTCATCGGTTCGATCATCACCAATATAAACGGGAAAAACATCCGAACAACTGTTGAATCCTATTAATAACAAAGTGATTAGCATTAATTAATTATATATATATATATAATCTTTGAAATGGTAATTAAATTTATGGAAAGGTAAAACTCACCGAGTGACTCCAATAAAAATTCCAAAGCCTTTCCTTTATCCCACTTAATGGTTGGACGAATCTCTAATACCTGTGTAGAAATGGAAGATTAATTAGAAGCATTTTCTACTCATGTGTATTTATGTATATGTTTGTCCGTAATTTTTGTAATAAAAGAATATTACAAAGTACAAATACAGTTATTTAAAAATTTTACCTTTCTTCCGTAGGTTAGTTGGAGCTTGGGGAAGTCCTTCAACACAGATTTCACTTGTTGAGCCAATTCATTCCATTTCTGTATTTTTCAAAGAGGACAGGCTCATTAATCAATAATGAATCTACTTTATTGAATTAGAGGTAGAACAGTAGTATAAAGATGTGTTTTATTATGAATAGTGAAAATTAATTATATAATGACGAATTTACCTTTTCTTCGACACAGCGAAAGTGCACAGAGAGACAGAACTTGTTGTTCTCCACCTTTGCTCCTGGAGTTGATTTTGTTTTTTCAACCAGCTGTTTATAAACCTGAAAAAGAAAAAGAAACAAGGATTTGGCTTTATTGGGTGTATTTTGGAGTAAAAAGAGAGAAAATGAAATTATTATTACTATGATTACCTGGTCGATCATGGGAAGAAATTCACTGGCAGGTTGAAAGAGAACAGATTGGGTACACTGGAAGAGCAAATGAAAGGAAAATTAATATTGAGAAAAGAATTGGGAGCAGAGCAGTGGTAAAAAGAGAATATGTCAGGTCAGGTGGTGGTGGGTGGTAAAAATAAAGCACAACAATTCACYCACTTTAGTGTAATTGGAATCTTTTGTCGGTCCTTTAATATCCATTCCATGGCTTCCGGCATAATACAGTTCTTCTAATTTCACAAACCCATAAACCTGCAATCAAAAACAGACAATACAAAATACATATATCATGTCATATTGTCATGTGTGGACAACATTAAATTCAACCAAAAAAATTACAAATATTTTATATAAATATTTACCATACCATACCTTGTCTCTCCGCCTCCCGCTCACTATTGCGGTGGGGAAGCTTCTCGCTACCTTTTTCACCGTTTTTCTCATCTGTTAGGAAGTCAAAACAAAAGTTAAAAGAAGAAGCTATTGTCCAAAAATGAATGTAATGAATAATAATAACTAACTGACCGCACGAGACATGAAAGCTCGATCTGGGTCGTCCACAATTGGCGAAAGTGTACCATCATAGTCCAAAAACATGACTATTTGCTTCCCTTTGGAAGCATCAATTATCTGCTCAAACATCTCCAACGCGGAAGGATGATG